CTCCCTGTGTCCCATACGTTTACCCATTGTAGTTTTAAAAGTAAAAATATTACTTATATATACTACTACATAAAAAGACATTAAAAATGATAGATAACAGGAAAAGAGAGGCTTTATTTTAGTTTGTTTCAACAGCAGAGATTCGATGCTTTTATGCGCAAAGCATTGTGCATTTCTTCGTCCCGAGACTTATTCGCAACACAAGCCGCTTCGGTTGAACGAGTAAAAAGCAGTTCTACTTTTAATGGAACTTTTTCGCGACGAAAATTAAAACTCGTCAACTGGCGAAAACTGCATACAGTGACTACGACAAACTATTATTTCCGTTTTTCCAAATAAAATACGGCATATTCTAAATCCCCATACATTCTCTTATAAATGTAGTGAGCTTGGGTTGCTTGTGCTTCTACTGCAGCTACAATATCAAAGCACCTTAGTTAAACAACAACATTTGTACAGTCGATCACTTCTTGGCATGACCTATCATAAATCGCCTAATGAAGTAWAATATAAACTTGGATAGGAGGCTTGGCACGTTATCCGTTGGTAAATAAACATAGCGTAGATTTACACTGCTAARCTCTGCCTCCTTTATGTACCGCCATGTCTCCCTCTCACAGTGACAGTTGCCCAAGAGTCTAGGCCATATTCCAATCTGTGAAGTAAGAAACTTCTRGAAGGTTCTTCTCCACGTACCTGGAACATCTATAGGGAAAATGTGYTTTGAGTGAGAAAATATTTGATCATTGGCTGGCCAAGTTTCGAGGGTCTTAAATAGGATGCCCAGGAGGATCCCTGGATGATTTGGAGACAGCCTTTTSAGGGATATGAAGGGGTAAACGGGAGCTGGGATGCGCTTTTTTGGGCTGGGAAAATGGAATTTTATGCACTGRGAATGGGATTCACAAACAAAACTACAACAAAAAGTGAAAACATGCGATTGAGATTTGGGCAAAACATAAAGCTGGGACTACTGGATTTGGTCAAAACGGGAGCTGAGAAATGGATTAGGATTCCCCCCCTTCAGAACCCTCTCTTCTGAGACGGGATAGCATAGGCCAAGACTGCATGTGCAACTGATGTAGCTCCGGCGCTGGCAGCTGATGAAGCTAAACAGAAGCTAACTATATGTACAGTATATATATGTTTTTATTTAGAAGAAACACTTTAAAWGTATTACAGCTGTATCGTTAATGCTTTTCAATGGATRCATGCAAGCACAAAATCAGCTAAGATACTGCAGATGCGCATCGTCACAGTTTGGTTGGGTTTTAGGAATGATGAGTCCTGCGAAATATATATAGGTAGAGGTATCAAAAATTWTGTAACTTGATACTCTCATTTTCTTATTTTACCAAAGTACTTACCCAAGACATGTTCCATGAAGAACAARCAGCCACCCTGTTATGATAGTCAGATAAAGGAAGAATTTTTAACAGTCTGAAAAACTGATCAAAATTAAGACTGGAATTTTGTTAAAATTTTACATGTGAAATATATCGTGATTAATGATGATGATGATGAAGATGATGGTGGTGGTGGTGATCCATTTGATGATCAATTTGCAGCTATTAGTGTCGTCACTCCCCTTAGCTACTCAATAGGGAGTGAGCGTTGTTTGACGACACTAATAGCGGCTGCGYACAGGTCGAGACTATTTGAAGAGACGAGATCTTGTTAGGGTCTTTTAGGGAAATATCATGRACGTATTTCCAAGGTGAACGTGTCATCTGAGTATGAGAAACCTAATATAAGTTATTCAGTTCAGTAGTCACCGCTGTGAGAGAAAAATAAATAATAAATAACGGTCCTAATTTCATGCACTGTGGGACCCCACAGATAGAATGCGAATTAGACTGTTTTCACAGTGTTTTCCGAGTTTGAAAACCGATCAAAATCAATATCGAAGTCAATCATTCGATTGAATTCAATTATGTTCGTTTGAATCAACCTTACCGGCTTCAAGACTCTTTTGRTTTCTTTCAGCATCTTCYKCAGATCCTCTATCTCCAGCGAGCACATCATATCTTCAGTGTAAACAACAGCAAAGGTGTTATCTGGTATGTTACTCATGTCTGCAGCACTTTGCACCAGGTAGTCTTTCAGCTTGACCTGAGGCGTCTTTGCGAGACTCTCGCGAAAATGTTTCTCCATGAACGGGTTGAGATCCATCACAACCAAAGAACTTTCTTCAGGAAGGCGTAAGAGATCCAAATACCTTCCCGTTCCTGCTCCGATCTCCAACACGTCTCCTCCAATTTCCATAACTTTGTCTCCGATCTCCTTGTAATGATCCACATGAATACTGAAAATGCCAGGGTGCTTTTTTACGGTTGACGAATGAGTCATTAGGTCAGCAAACCAACTTTTCATGAAGTTTGATGCGCATATTTTGTCCAACAGCTTTGAGATCAGGCGAGATTTGACGAAGAAAAATACAACAACAGCTAATGAGATAAGGGCTATTCCAGCCCTTGGCAGGAAGGGTAGTTCTAAAGCCATGGTCACGATCAGGATGTACAACTTTGATCATGCGCGCTCGAACAAACATGCACATCGAAATTTTATGGAAGAAGCGACCTCGAGAGGCTCTGGCTGCCAGCGATTTCGAGTTTACTTCCGGAACGTGAAACTCGACCGGAAGTTTTAACTGCGCATGCCTAAATCGCATACTAGCCAAAATACAAAGACTATTATTGATTCCCAAAGCTCATATTCCTTACTGCGCATGACTTTTAATGACGGACGCAATAAGGAAGCAAGAATGCAAATAATCCCCTTATATCGCGTTTATCTACTTAAAAACCCATTACATTTTGAACGAAAAAGAAAAATCTGTCGATACTAACGATGCAATTGCTAATTTCAAACTCGGTCATGCATCGATGTCTGGGTGTTATACCGGCTGTGGCCAAAACAATGTTATTAAAACAAATAGGAAACCCTTCCCCCAAGAGAAATGAGCTACCAAAACCTACTCGGCATTGGTGTGAAAATAATGTACAAGTTATCACCATTATAATGTCATATAGCTCCTGTTATAGTTTTTTTATCATTATATCACTCAATCACAGAACAAATTCCATCACTGTATAGACACATATAACATATTTCATAACATATTGATAATCATATAACTTTATAAAATCACACATAAAGTTTAGTGTGGGTTTATAGTTCCACGGTAGAACAAGCACTTTCATGATCAAATAAGTTAGATTTGTCTGATATGAAGCATACAGTCATTAGCAGACTGAGTAGTTTTACCCTGGGTGTGGGAAAGGGGAGGGGAGGGGGGACTGCAAAAGGAAGAGAAGGGGTGGGGTGGGAGGAAAATCTTTATTGTCCCAACAACTCTTTCAGAGTAGTGAATCCATATCTCTGAGGTGCTCGTGTCTCCTTCACATCTTTTCCTTGGATCTTCCCATCGACAAGATATTCCTTGTTCATTATCTTCTGAGCCCACAAAATTAACTTGTCAATGTTTGGGGTCTTGACGCCAACCACCTCGGCGATTCCACGTGTTACGATGAGACCATAAGGCATGTCTTCGACCATGTATCGGTGTTTGAAGTTGGGCACCCATTTTCCCCCGTCTACTTGTACCATTGGATGAGTCAGGCCCTTGTACGCTTTGTTGGTCGTGATGGCCTTATACAAGGTACTCTTGTCTTCGATCTCGTTAGCATAACATCGTTTGTACCAATCAAATATGTGTCCAACATGGTTCATATCCGTCTTGGGACTTTGCTCGCCAATAGATTTGGTTATAGCAAGCACTTCATCGGACATAGTGCTCATCCACTGAGCTCCTTGTTCGCTAAGTCCCTGGTAGAATAAAGGCTGCTCGTCTAATGGTTTGCCATCCCAGTTTGCCCAACGGTCATTTAGAATGCAGGGGTGCAAGTACGCATCACACATCAAGGTAACACCGAGTAAGTCTCCTTTGATCTTCAAAACTGGCTTTTCACCCAAAAGGTTCTGTATGACTGTGTAGGGATCTTTCTTAGGTGGAACTGAACCAACTCGTACAGCACCTAACAGGGATTCTTTAGTACCCAGTACATCACAGGACTTTCCGAATTCTGTGATTCGTGTTGCCCATGGTAACGACTCGACGTTCATGAGAGTACATTTACTAGCCATGTCTCCTACAATGCCACAGATCTGGAATTCAAGGCCTGATTGTCCTGGCAAACCCACAATTATCGTTCCTGGCTCGATATAAGGCCGGATTGCCTCAAGGTACTGCTCATGTGCAAATGCTGGCAAGACAAGGGCAATGACATCACATCCGGGGACAGCTTTCTCTGGTTGTTTGGTAACCAACTTGGGTTTGGTTTTAAGTTGGTTGTAGACCTTCTCATTACGGTACAAGCTGACAGTGAAGTCGTGTTCCTTGAGAGAATTAGACCATCTCTCTGCTTCATCTTGGAACAAGGATAGAACACATACATCAGTGTCTGGTTGAGATGAAGCTATACCAGCCCAGGCATGAGCACCATTGCCTCCACCACAGATCACCAGCTTGGTTGGTTTGGCCATCTGATGTCTATCAATAAATGCATGTACAGTATGTTAGAAGAAGCATCTAGAACTTAGGAAAACATACTGCTACTGGATTTGCTTTTGATATTTCTTTCCTTGATTTATTTATATAATAACATAAATATACACCATATATAAAAATAAAGAATAACAATTAGGAATTAATTAGAAATGACTTATTTATTTACTTTAAATCCCCAATTCAAGATTGATGAAAATAGGTTTATATAAATATATATAATATGATTAAA